TCCCTTTGATAAATTGAATTCACTTTGAATTGATTATTTGTTTCCTTTGAAACAATAGTTGATTCTTTCTTTATCAAGGTGAAATTAACTAATTGAGTGGTATCCCATTCCACTTCTAGCAAGTCTTCCAAAAGAAAATTGTTTTTTTTTTTTTTGGAATTCTTCTCATTTGTAGACATAAACATTTCTTGACTTATATATGATCAATTCCCACGACGATAGGCATTGGAAGAGAAAAAATAAGAAATTAAACGATACTGACCAGGCTGCAGCATAATTCATTATCACAGTACAGGAATCTTACATCTTTTCTTTAATTATTTTTAAGGGGAAAATAGAAGCGTGTTGACTTTAGAGACGGTGACACAGAGGGTTAAAGGATTCAGAAAGTCTGTTACTTTTTACACTATGATGTGACTCCTTCGAATCCCATTTTTTTTAAGCAAGTATTATGTGTTTCAGTCCAATAACAAGTAATAAAATGCAAGTTTACTGCAAATCTTGCGTGAAGCGATATAAAAGAGATTGATGACTGTACGTTTAAGTCCTCAGTGTTTGCATAAAACTGCTTGTCGTACATTTTCAAGTTGATCAGCCACTTTGGAAAAAAACAGAACGACAAAATCATGAGATTATCAAAATAGAGTGCGTACCCATAAGTATTGTCATGAATAACGCTCGATAGTTCAGCTTTTGAAACTCAGTTTATAAAAAGAAACTATCTACTGACATTAGTAGAGACGGTAGTCTTAATATCAACTGTTTATAAACAACATGATAACTGGCTAAGACTTAATCCACCCCTGGTGAAAATCAGATCGTTACGTCATCATTATCACAGGTCTCACCTTCTGTAGGGTTTCCATTTCCTTAAGATGGTTTCTTAACTGAGTGAATGTTGGGCGAGCATCCGGGTCATTTTGCCAGCATTTCATCATGATCTGGTACCTGGCATTTGCAAAGAGTGATCAGTTCAACAAACAAACAAAGAAAACTGTTTTTATTCCTTTGCAAGAATCGTTTAACCTGAATACCAGTAAGAGGTGGCTTTAACTTACAGTCATTGAGTGAATACCTCTCTGAATTGGACTAACGACAAAGCAAAATAAGAAAGATGAGAAATGTAAGAAGAATGAGTGCTGAACTAAGTAAGTGTCCTAAGAAGGTGAAGATCAATTCTTCTCTTATACAAAACGTTTTCGTTTACACAACATACTCTCAAAAAAGTGTATCGTATTTTCTATTTTTGATGGTTCTTATATGTATTGCATCAGAAATAATAGGCTGGAGTGTCTTTGTTAAGTCCAAAAACAAAATTATACCACCGTTAGTGTTTCTTGTGCGTTGTGCTCACTTTTGATGGAGTGGCGTTACCATTGTAGCAAGTTATCTGTGATGAGACGGTGTTACAAGGTAAATCTAGGGAAAATGTGTATAGGGAATAAATCCCTTACGACAAAAAGTATACCAGATTCTATGGTTGACTGCCATGGTGTATTCATACAAAGAGGTTAATCTTAGTGCCATAACCTCCTTCCAGGCCATGATAATGCAATATACATGCCATTAACACTCACCATATATGGTTACACTTATAACACCATCCCACAACCTTACATCAGTGACCACTGTGCATGTGAATTCCTTTCCATCAGCAGCTGTTTCGTTGTAGATTATCAAGAGGGCAGAATCACCAGGACTGATGATAAAATGTCGTCTATAGGTCGGAATTGAGGTAACAGCTCCAGATGTAGCTTTTTGCGCTATACCAGACTGAGTATTTCTATCATCCAAGAAACATGAATGAGTGTTTCACCAGATAATGTGACGTCCCATTCCAAACGTAACTTAGGAGATCTTCAGTCTAATTCTTTGACTTTCGTTCGAAGTGGGGAGTCTCCAATGGCAAGTGAACCATGTTGTGGAAAGGGAAGAGCCTGTGATGGCTGCATCTACAACAAAGTGATAATTAAAGTAAACAAAATATAAGTGAGGCAAATAAGCCTGAATGTGGCAATTTTGATTAGGTATCTTGTATTTATTACAAAACACAAGTCAACTAACGACCAACTAAGAAGAAAGCTAAAAGTAGATTTTTGAACAACATTATGTACAAGATAAACTTTGAAAATAGATTTTAGTACTAGAATACATTATCGTACGTATATGATAAAATAAAGTATACGTATGATGCACGATCCTCGCAGTAGATAGCGCTATTTAAGCAATAGCGAAAATCAGACCTGAAAAACAAAATCAGGCCTGTACGGGATTCGAACCACTGACCTCTGCGATACTAGTGCAGCGCTCTACCAACTGAGCTACCAAGCCAACTGGGAGCAGGCCGTTAAGTTGATTGTTGATAACCAGATTCCATGGTTGACTGCTGGTTATCAACTTAACGGCCTGCTCCCAGTTGGCTTGTTAGCTCAATTGGTAGAGCGCTGCACTAGTATCGCAGAGGTCAGTGGTTCGAGTTCCGTACAGGCCTGATTTTTTTTTTTTTTTTCAGGTCTGATTTGCGCTATTGCATAAATAGCGCTATCTACTGCGAGGATCGTGCATCATAGATATCTAATATCGCAGTTCAAAATATATGAACTTCATATATTCATTGTATCTCAAAATAAAGTATATTTGACTTATGCTCACTACTAATTAGTTAACTACTTCCTTACCCCATTGAAAGAACGAATCAGGTCCTTCCAAACGATTTAAAAGCACTAATTGAGATAGAGTCTGACCCACTCTAACCACTTTATTCAAAACACAAAGCCCAAAGAACAAGGGTGCTGCTGACACAGTCCAACACAAACTAAAACGAGACAAATGATCACTTATAAGTACATGATAAACTTAAATTCAAATCTCATACTAAAATACATATTACATTCATAAAACCAATAAGTATTATGTCTTTGCAGAGAAAAGGAAAAGAAAAATAACACTGCACAGTTGTTACGGACTCTTCCTCGATCCTAATCATTAAAAAATATACTCAAGTCCAGTGACGAGAAAGCTTCTACATTTACAATCTGATTGTTCGCACTGCGTTAAAAGCATGATCGATCAGGGCACCCCACGTTCACACCATGCACTAAATAATTAAAAGAAACAGTTTCCGAATCTAGCACTAATATGAAAGTGCTAAGTAAATTAACACAATCAAAACACACTAGCAAGATGCCTTACCTGCCATCGGAATGATAATACCAGCGGCGAGAAAATATTGAAGGATCATTATACCTTACACATGACTAAAACTACTGCTTTAACTAGATCCTACGAAACCGAAAGGCTAATTTCACTCCATGAAATTATATGTGTGGCGTTGTGACCTTCTATATTCAAAGGTTACTGCTGGCGGTATACAATCACGCATGCACTCCTTCTAATCAACCTCTCTTTCCAAAATAATCAAATCAAAATGAAATCAAACACATATTGTAAAACGTTGTCAAAAAATACCGTAAAAACAATTTTCAGCAATTCTCGACAATTTTCTTCTATATTCTAATCTACCCACGATAAAGCGGTGGTATTGTTTGTTTTGCATGCTTCGGACGTTTATAGCTTTTGATATGCGTATTCATTGCCTCCATTTTTCTCAAAAATGGTCTCTGAGAGTGCCTTTCCTTAAGTCTTGTTTGCCGAACCTTTAGTTTTGAACTGAACAGCAAACCAAAGCGGAACCAAGAGACCTCAAATTAAAAACATGTGTTAGCACGTGGGTGTTGTGAGATACCGCTTCAAATGAAATTTACAACAACAGAATTGGAATGTAAAACAAATGAGGAGTGGATCTTAACCATTTTTTATTAGATATCAACGTACGAAAAAGGAAAGAAAAACATGATTGTGTTTAAAAAGAAAAGCAAATGAGGGCAAAAGAGTGACAAGTGTGATCGCTGTAGAAAAATCATTACCCAAGGAAACAAGAAAGTTTTGCGGCGTTGCCCTATGGAAGCCTTGTGAAATAATAAAAGCGTCGTCGCTATCATTTATGTTCGAATGAATCTAATTAAGAATTTCGGTACTAATTTAAAACCAGGTGTCTGTTTTTGTTTGTTTTCAGCGAACCGAGGCAATCTGTTCATGGTCTAACATTTGGGAACCTTCCTCAGCTAAACAAACAGAAACGAAAGGACTTGGCACATTCCTCTTCTGGACAGAAAACCACATCTCTTCCTTCTTCATTACAACTTTCGTGATCGTCTCTGTTATTTCTGTTCTGTGAAGCCTCTTCTAAAACCGGTTTTTGCATTGCTTTACTCCTGGCTTTGGTAGTTTGGAAAGATACTTCAGTACTGGAACTTTCAACACTACTCATCATTTGAAAAACATCTGAATTGTGGTAAATACCAGTATGCCCTGGAACAGGAAACACTGTACGACAAGGCAATGACCATGGACGGCACCAGACCGGAGCTTGGTCCTGTCGTCCGTGTCAGTGTCAGTGTCAGTGGAGGATCATGGCTCAAGTAGATTTAAAGATTTCTGAAAAATTTCTAAGGGGGTCGTTTAATGTAAAATATTTTTAAGCTATCCCATTAATTACAATTTAAGGCCAATCATAAGAAATCTTCCAATTTCATTTTCAAAATTATTTTTAACTACCTCGCGTTATTAACCACGCCCTATTTTATCGAGAAATCCTTGGGATTGAAACGCCCACTGGACAGAGAACAGACCGTTCTCGTTTTTTGGGTCCAAACAGTGGCATATAACACTCTTCTCGTGAAAACAGTCAGAATGAAAATAAGTCATAAGCGTCTTGTCTTGACGAAAACCTAAGTTAGAGGA